TAAAAATATTGAAACACTGAAATTATTGATGCAAGAAACAGATAGGAGAGAGATAAATGGTGAAGAGTGTGATGCTCAGACAGCACACACCAAACTTTATCAACTTTTCATGAAATGCTTAAATACCGCGTGTCCTGAAATCGTAATTATGAGGAAATCTAACGATTTTCATCTGCAGTGGAAAACAGAAGAACATGAGAAAATTAAAAGACGTTTAGATGTGCTAAGAACAATTATTAAAGTAACGCATGATCAATATTATAAAGACGTCTATAAAATAGTGAAATCTGAATATATAATGACGATGGACAACAGTGGCGTATTTACGGGGGGGGGGGATAAGTGGGATATATCCCCCCCCATGACATCTATCGACTCCGCCATCCTTTTTAAAATATTAAAATTGTCCAAGACATTCGAGAAATAGAAAAACCAGAATTTGATTTAAATCCCAGATCGTGACGTTAAAAACTAAATAATATTTTAAATGTTTTGTCGTTATTGATGTAGATCGAAAAAAGATTTAGTTTTCAACATAGCCATCTAATAATTAAATATAATTCCTTATGACATTGCCTAACATGTATAGTACGGTAGTGTTATCGCATAAAGGGGGATTCCCAACTTCGATGTGGGAATCCCAGCCGATGACAACCAGAATTCTAGGTTATTTGAGTCCTCGTATGTATTACGTTCGACGTACTACGTTGTTGATCCAAACGTTCAAGTTAAACCCTTAACTAAAGTACGTATATTGGAAATAAATAAATATTGTCGGATATTTCGTAAATTCATAATGAGTAAACAAAGTCTTTTGTCGAGTTTTCTAAAAAGAAAGTCAACAGATAAAAACGGTGGTGAATCTACGTCTGCGTCAACAGTTGATTCCTTTGATTTAGAAAGAGAACCTACTTCATCTAAAAAATTAAAAATGGAAGAATATGTTCATCCAGAAGATATTGGAAATTTTTTACAAGGTTCGGAAAAATTAAATCATATTAAAACCTTTTGGGTTCCGCCACCGTCGNTGAAGAGTGTGATGCTCAGACAGCATACACCAAATTTCATCAACCTTTCATGAAATGCTTAAATACCGCGTGTCCTGAAATCGTAATTACGAGGAAATCTAATGATTTTCATTTGCAGTGGAAAACAGAAGAACTTGAGAAAATTAACAGACGTTTAGATGCGCTAAGTACAATTATTGAAGTAACGCATGATCAATATTATAAAGACGTTTATAAAATAGTGTAATCTGAATATATAACAACGATGGACAAAGCAAAAAAATACGCAGATGGAGAATACATACATTTGTCTGACAATAAAATATCGGCTGCGTGGGGATTAGTAAAAGAGGAAACACATAAAACAAAAAAAACGAGATATATAAATCATAGATATATATCTAAATGCAGATACATTAAACGATTTCTTTATTAATGTTGGAACCGCACTCAATACCACTTCAAGAATGTGGGTAGCATTATACTACCCTATAATCCTTTGCTACTCTTTAGCAGTAGTAGTCTAACGGATATTCAAGAATATTTTTATATATGTATAGTAAAACCTTATATGACTTACGTTATATGACTTCGTTAGAACGGACAAAATATTTTTAAGTCATACTATTAACTACACACTATTTAATACATTATTAATTTAAATATAAATGTTAGCACTCATAGATAGAATCCAATTTGGGTTATTCCCCAAGTTGCCCTATTCAATGTTCGTAGATAATCTCGTGGTATTCTCCGAGTTATCTATAAGATGTATAAATCAAGGATCTAGTTTTAATTCTTATTCAGCATTAGCTTACTGTATATTTTTATTGAATTAATACTAGAACTAACATTAGACTTAGAACTAGAAACATTTGGGTTTAGCCGTACGTCTCTTAAGACGGCTAAATCCGAATGTTTCTAGTTCTAGGTCTAGTGTTAGTTCTAATACTAGTGTTAGTTGTAGCCTTATTTGTCATTCAGCGTTTGATTGGTGTTTTAACTAACGCAGAATAACAACAGTTGTATATTTTTATTAAACTAAAAGAATAACCTGAGTTGGATTCTATCTATGAGTTATAATAATTAATATTGACACGTTTAGCCCCGGTATACAAAAGAAAAGATGACCCCCCGGACCGGAAATAGTTTTTGAGTTAATACAAAAGAAACTATAGTTATCACCCCAACTATATATTTTTCTGTAAACTGCAATCCTTTTCACTACGAATTTCACTCAGGAAAACGTGAGTCACGGTTACCTCTCGCTGTCTGAGAGGGTATAAAAAACTTTGTTCATCATTCATTTAGTGTAAAGACAGTGAGGGAACGCACCTAAAATGTGTTCCTACGAGAAAGAAAGAAATAGATTGCAAAAATTATGGGAGGAAATAATGTCGGATGAAGATAAAGAAGATTCGTTTGCAAATAATGATTCGTTGATTAAATACTTGCCGTCAGGTGAAGAAAGTAGTGATAGTGACTGTATGCACGTTACACCTGATGAAACTGTATGGGAAGCAGTGGATAAAGAAAAGCTGAACCAGTTTCAATTTCCGATGAAAAACCCTGATATAAAAGACGAATATTATATTATGCGAGCACTTTAAAGTTATAGACAATCTTTGAAGTTGCAGTGTGTATTACTGTGAGGTGTATATTTTTCTTTATTAGTTTATTAGTTTTCTTTATTAAAAACTTCTTGCAGACAGGAACACGAGTTTGATTTATCAGGAAATAATATTTAACAATCTTTTTTCTACGGGAATCCACACATTTCGTCGTTTTCTGCTTTGTGTCAGCAACTTGCGCGTTTATAATATCCAGTAAACAATTCAAGTCTTTGCGCTTCTTCTATTGTTCTATTACATCTTGGTTTTATTCTGCTACAAGGTACAAGTTTCCCTTCCTTCACCGTTGAGTACTCCTTGCCTAAATTTCTGAAAGTCTTCGCATTTTTTTGTTTATTAAAACGTACTTTTTTAGGATTTGTCCTTCTATTTCAATCCCCTCTACTGCATGTTGCTCCGGGTTATGATCAAGTTTAGTAATCTTTTCAATTTTACTTTTATTAGCTCTTTTTATGTGACTTTTTATGTCACAATTAGTATTTGTCTTGAAATGGGCATGACACAGTCTTTGGATCTCTCTCTTCTTTGCAGTCTTTTGCCTCACATCCTGGAGAATAAGCTGGATCCGCATCTGAATCGTAGCCGTCACTAAATTGAATGCAACTATCAGATTCTTCTTCTGTCGGTTCTTGCTGTGCTTGTTTCCACTCCCCAGGTGTTTGTTGTGCTTGTTCCTTTGCTGCCGATTTTTGATTTTTGCTCTGTTGGTCTATGCTCTCGTTGTTCCCGCTTCTCTAATTCCTGCTGTGCTGGTTCCACCGATTGAGGATCCACTTTGTTTTGCACTGAAATACCGGGCGTATTCTTAAGAGCCCACTTTACCAGGTCGGTCAGTTTCTGAGGGGCGCAGACGACGGACGTTCGGAAGCAACGAGGCGGAGTTTATTTTCTACTAGGCCCGACCCTTTATAGATAAAAAAAACATCGTGTTTATTTTATTACGATTCTTTTTCTCGTCGATGTTGTTAATGAAGAAATTAAACGACTTCTTCTAAATATTATTGTTTATTAACAATTTTTCTTAATTACGAATTACAATCAATCTTTTTATTGACTTTCCATTTTATTTATTATTTTGATTTTTTATTAATAATCGTAGTCGTAGCCCACCTTTTTACTACGTTTGTTTTTTTAAGTATTTTGGTTCACAACAATTTACATTACGCAAATATCAGTTTTTTAATGCTTTTTTTCGATATGAATAGAATATTAATTTTTTAATAGAGAAATTAGAGAAAGAAGTTGAGAACATCTAAGATTATGGGTTTATAATTCAATTGAATGTAAGGCAAAAATCAATTTCAAATGCAATAAATAATTTTGCGAGGCATAAAACATTTATATCATTTTGAAACGAAAATAACATTTATAACTTCATTTTATATTAAAATAGATATATTTGCAATACAGGGAATGTGAAAAGTTCGGTACAACATTTATAAATTATATCTTTGTTGTATTATTATGCGTTCGTTTGATATACAGGTGTCTCAGAGTAACCGTGTAAGTAATTTTATTTGAAAACACAGGTAGTTACAAAAATTAAAGAAAAAATAGCTGAATAAATGTGGTTCCTTTATGAATATTATTACTTTTCATTCGAACTTTTTTAATATTTCTGTTTAAAAAAATGGACTGCATGGTCTGCATCACCTTGTATAAGTAAATGAAATAATATGTAATACCTAATTAATAATAATATTAAATAATGATTCAAGTATACAAAATATGGCTAATAGTGTAATAAATAAAACAGCCCTGACTAGAAAAATCTTTAGGAAATTTTAATTTGCCATCGTTGAATAGATGTAAGCTCTTGAAATTCGCTGGACACTTCACCTCGACGATGGCATTTTCGTTTTTTATTGTTTCATTTGGACTTGCAACTAAGAATCCATACATCCTACGGATGAATAGAGCTCAAGAGTTTGCTGGCAAGTTATATTTACTTTCAAATTTTTTTAATGCAAGCCATTCATAGTCTTGGCCATGTTTAGTGTTATTATTTCTAGCAAATTTCGAGTACAAGATTGATTTAACTTTATTTAAGCAAGACGTGTCATTTCTCATCCTACATACATCACCAAATCTCGATGCAGTTAGGCACAGATACCTTTCTTGGATCCATATCTGATTGGTACTTTAGCTTCTGGTAAGAATTTGTATTTTATTTCTGTTAATGCATCCATCTTGCAAGTTTCTAATAAATTCTTCTTTCTTTTATATTCTTCGTGTGAAATGTCACTCATAAATTATAACCGAATTGCTATCATTACCCTGATCGGCTTTCGCTACCTACCTGAATTACCCCGTATACACGAGTATTTTTTTTTATGTATACAATTATTTTATAGCAGTACCACTCCGGATGATGCATCGTAATTGACGTTCGAGCGTTTAGCGTTTACAGTCTTTATTCAGTTTTTATTTACTTCTTCTGAAGCTGTAACTAAATTAATTCTTCTTTACCTGCGTTCTTCATAGACTGCTATGCCATGTCACTTACGGTTTCTCGATATTTTTGGAATGGTTTTGTTAACATAAATGGTATATCCACACATAACAATAATTCTTCAGCCTGTGTATATCCGGTACCGACAGATAACAGAAACAACAGCAGAGTTTATCTCAATAGACTCTTTGCTTTCTTCAGTGTAAAGCTTCTTTTTTATCCCGCACATAAAACATAAAAGAAATGAGCTGCTAAGCCCTTCTTTTGACTCATTAATAAATTTAATGTGAGTTTTGTTGCAGTTGAATGGATTATTCTCCACCATCAGTATTTGGTTCTGCATCATTTGTATTATTTATCTTATGGTATCGCTTCAAATAATGTATCGTTTTAATTTTTACTGTGATGGTTTATTCTTTTTAAATAAGTCCTTTTTATGTGTGCCACAGTTTATACAATAAAATTAATAAAATTTAACTTACCTTTCGGAATGAATACATTTTTCAATTAAATCTCGGACTATAAAATATGAAATTTTAGATTTTATAAAAATTTATATCGTAAATTATTACCGTCTATTACTCCTTTTTCGAGAACATCTTCAAATGCTAAGGGGTAGTTTTTTAGATGAACATACTTACCCATTGTTTATAAAAACTTTACACAAACTAAATTAAACTAACACTATAGTACACAATAAAATAACAACTATTGACTATAAATTCAAAAATTTTGTTAAATTACACAATCATTAGTAGAAAATCACGGAAAATAAAGTTCAAAACGTACTTTTGGAAATGATTATTTTCTCTACCACATTAAAAAGTAATAGATAAAACAAGGAGCTTCGATGAAGAGAGTCGATGTAAGCGCCGCTCAGTCGGCAAGAGGCGGGACTAACGCGGTGGTAATACTTCGTGGGAATCTTGACGGAAAATATTCATTTTTACGCTACCTTTTTGCAATTTTAGCAAATTACAAACTATTCCTTTATAACTAAAAATTTTGAAAAAATTTATTTGAAAAATATTACTATTTTCAAGTATACTATCATGCAAGCTAAAAAAGAACGACCAAATTGTATAATATTGAGGAAAAAAACCCCTTTTTTTGGAAAACTTTAAAAATTTTCACCATGCGTTATGTAGAATTGTTAGAAGAAGCTATGTACAAAATTTCATCCAAATATTTTCATAAATAATGTATGTTTTTTGTAATTTGCCGAGCTGTATGGTAAAGTAGCCTCTTAATTAAATTTTCTTCATGGTGGGTAACATTTTAACTTACAAATAATAAGAAAGCTAAAGGTACGTCTTCCGACGAATCACTCTGGCATGGATCCCCACATGGATTAACTACCCTGGATTCTAACTGAGTTAAAACATCGTCTTCAGATGAATCATTTGCGTCAACGTATTTTGTATCAATCACTTTGCCACTATACCACTTCTTGTTGTAAAACATTTTTACTTTGATTCCTTTTTTAAGGCAACCACGAAA